GGAGAAGAGCAAAGGTTTCCATTTTCAAAAAAGAGAATAAAATCTATAAACTATAAATCGATGAGTTTGAGTTTGATTCCTGGGAAAATCCTAGAATAGATCATGAAAAAGATGGTTGGTGGAAATAAAAGCAATGAATACAAAGACGCAGCCTGGCTTCATCAAGAGAAGGTCCTGGCTAACTAACTCTATCTCCTTTCTAGGGTTTTTAAACTAATAGCCCAAGAGTAAGCTATAGATTTAGTTTAACTAAATTTTAGCCAGACATTTGACAAAGTATCAAATAGTATTCTTTATGAAGATGAAAAGCTGTGTGGCCCTATAACTTGCAGGATGACAGGTACTAATGTCCTTTTAAGCAACTGCATTGACTTCCAAGCCTATGCAAAGTAAAATGGCCACACCTACTGAGACTGTTCTGGTCACAGTCCAAGTCAACCTGGGCTCTCTGGGTGCCAATGAATCAGAGGAGTACAGGGAAACCAGTTTCTGAAGGGAGAGAGGGAGGGAAGAAAGGAATGGAGGAGGGAAAAAGGGAGGGAAGGAAGGAACAGAGGAGGGAGAGAGGGGAAAAGAGATGGAGGGAAAAAGGGAAAGAGAGGGAGAGAAAGAGAGAGAGAAGCATTTTTCAAGTGCTCTGGGTACTACTGTGATCCCCATTTGCAGCTGAAGAAAGGTCAGATTTGAATTCAGGTTTTTTGAACTCCTGGCCTAGAGCTCTATCCACCATGCCACCTGGCTGCCTCACATAATCTCATGACGTTCTATTTAGTGTCAGGTTATCTTAGGTAGCCAAATGAATCACACCATTCTGGAGCTAGCCAGGACTTTTGAGAGCATCAGGAGACAAATGGGTCCAAGCCAAAAACCACTGGACTGGAAGTCAGTATTCTATAACCTACCAGGGCTACTCTGGAAAAAAAGCATTTTGTAAACTGCCCAGAGCTATAGAAATGTCTTACTGATCCAGTCCTCCTCTCCAGGCTCCTCCCAATATTAGACTGGAGCTCCTACGTGGCAGGGACCTCTCTTTGTATCTCCAAGGCTTCATACAGAATAATCACTTACTAAACGCTTTTTCATTCATTCATTTCACAAATGGGGAAACTGAGGCCCAAAGAGGTTAAACAGCACATCCCAAACCACGTAGTTTGTTAAGTCAAGGCTCAGAATCAGGTCTTTTAACTCTTACTACAAATTCGATGTTTCTTCTCCAGTCCAGATCCTCCTTCTCCTCTTCAAGAAACACATGCCATAAAATAGACCTACCAGTAGTTCAAGATTTATTCTTCCAAAAGCTATGCATTCCTGTCTCTTTCAACATTGATCAGAGAAGTCCAACATATCCACTGGGCCCACCTCTCCACAAGCACTGGCACTTCTATAACTTGGGGTTGAAGGCAAATTGGTACAATGTATTGCCAACCATTCTCCCCCAGCCCCAAATTTTAATGGACAGAACACTGAAAAGGAAGAAAAAATTCTCTTGGGCTTAATGAAAAATGAGAGCTTGCCTCTCCTGGCAAGGGTGGCCTTTTGGCTTCCGATCCCAGAAAGAAGGATGAGTAGCAAAGAGGGACTAGGGGCACCACCACATCTGGCTGAGGTTGGAATCCACCAACATGACAAAGAGACATTTGTCAGCGATCTGAAAGCCTAGGGGAGGGGGGAAGCTGAACAAAGAAGAAGGGAAAGGTGAGTCTTGGCTCTCCTTAGGCTGTCTTAAGGCAGGCTTTTACCTCTCTAGCCAAAGCCTACATTTGGGTTGAAGAATATTCCAGTACCAGATTCCAGCCTCTTGACTACTGACCATTCACTCACTAGTTCAATAAACATTTATTAAGGCAGGAAGGTGAATAAGTAGCAGGCAACAAGGGGATACAATGATGGAAACTTTACCTAGATTTTATAGACCAGAGGTGGCTGGACAGGTTCAGTAGGATTTCCAGATTATCATCAGGGTTGAGTTTCCATAGATCACCTGATAATTTACCTGAGTCATAGGATTTTCTTCTCTAAAGACCTACCCTAGGGCCTCAGTGTGGTCAGGTTCTTAAAGGGTAAAATCTAAGGGAAGCCTAAGCTTGGGCAGGTCCTTACACACTCCCTGAGACAAGATGCCCACTGTTCAATAAGTAACCTGGCTAAATATAGACAGAAAAACACAGCAAGAACTTACTTACTCAGAGGGCAGGACTTTTTCCAAACACAGCAAATCTCAAAAACCATCTACTAAGTTACAGAGGGCTTGCAATCTGTGTTGGAGGAAGATACTGGCAAAATTACAGATCCCTCAAGGTCTGACCTATAGCATTTACAAAATTCAGGCCGCATATTCACTTGCCTCAGCCGCGTGGATATCTGAAGATAATTGTGAACACTACACAAAACTTTCTGTACAGACCTGGGATTTCATTGATATAGGGAATTCCCCATGAAGAAACTGCCAATGCTAAAATTTAGCAATGAAGACCAACAACGCTAACAATGCTTCCACGAGAGAAGTGTTCAGCAATCTCTCTCCTTAAGAGAGTTGTCTGGAGTCCAGAGAAGTGAAGTGTATGCCCACAGGCACAGGGCCAAGCTGTTGCAGAGGCAGTACTTGAATTCAGGTCTCCCTGACTCTGAGGCCCCCTAATTAATCACTGCATGCCATTGCCTCTCTTACAGGGCTGGAAACATTTTGCCTGCTGTATGTGATTTTGCAAAGCTTAAAATTCAAGTTAATGAGCATTAACAGGATTTCTCTATTACTAATAAAATTACAGCCTGGAATTTTCTCTGTCTCTCCATGTCGCCTTAACTTTTTAACCTTCTCTACCACTCGTGCTTGGCCTACCTCCTGCCCCCCATTTGACTGTGAGCACTGTGATATTTCTCATTTTTCTATCCCCAGGGCCTAACAGAGAACAAGGCAGCCCAAGATTTATTGAACTGGATAATCAACTTAATAACACCACATCCCCATCAGGCATTTATAGAGCTCTTTAAAGTCGGCACAGCACTCTGACTGTATTATTTCATTTGAGCCAAACAATAAGCCTGTGGGCTAAGTGCCTTTATTACCCCATTTTACAGGAGGAAACTGAGGCTTAGGAAGACTACAAGGGCAAGGTGACTAGGCTCCTGAAGTCTTTCCCAGATCATTAAGTACCCTAGCTCCCCCCTCTTCCAGTGCCTCTTTGCTATTGGTAACTAATAATCAGGGCAAAGTAACCATCAAATGGCACTATTTAGCTTTCAGGGATGATCTCTCCTCCCCAGCACAACTATTCATTTCTAAGAGGTCGGGAGGGGGAGGGAAGATTAGAAAAGGAGGTACTGGGGCAGCTAAGTAGCGCAGTGGAGACAGCACCAGCCCTGGGAGTCAGGAGGACCTGAGTTCAAATTTGACCTCAGACACATAACACTCACTAGCACCAGCCCTGGAGTCAGGAGGACCTGAGTTCAAATGTTACCTCAAGCACATAACACTCACTAGCTGTGGGACACTGGGTAAGTCACTTAACACCAACTGCCCTCACTCAAAAAAAAAAAAAAAAAGGAGGCATTATACAGAAATTAAGGGACTTGCCCACTGCTAGAAATTCCTGTTAAAGACTCAGTAACGAAAAGTATAAACAGACAACCATTTGAGGTGCAGAGCCAAAAGGGGTCTTAGAGATAGATCACCTTGTACAAACTCCTCATTTTAGGAAACAGACCCAGGAGGGAGCTGAATCCCCACAACCAGTGCCTGGGTGGGAATTCCCAGATGATAGTATGCACTTCGCACTTTGCACTCATCACACCTGACTCACAAACTGAAAACCATGATCATTCACCACCATTTTCTCCTAGCAGTATACATTAATGAAGAAGAAATTAAAATTTCAAAACTTCCTCAGCAATCAAGAAAAACCTACAGACTTCTCTTTTCCCCAAGCAAAGAGCAAAGTCCTAGAGGGCAGGAGAGGTTTTCTCTCTTTATCTGCCTAGTCTTATCTCGGGAAGCAGTCCTATAAAATCAAATGTCCAGTACACCAGTCATTGGGAAAGTGTCCTCCAGAACATAGCTCTAGGCTTACATCACAGCGTTAAGCAAGGCTCTCGATTCACTGAAAGGGGTGGTGACGGTCCACTTAGATCAAGTGACCTTTTGGGGGGATCACTGACACCCCTACCCCCTGGCAGTCTGGGGAAGCCTAGATACCCCTTTTCAGCATAATGCTTTTAAAAGTATAAAAGACTTAAGGAATGCAGAGCAAAGCAATTATACTGAAATAAAGAGGTCATTCCCCACCCACCCACCCAAGTTCGCGGACCCCAAGTGAAGGGCCGGAGCTTGAGACGCTACGCCTCAAAAGTTACCTCCTGGGGGGAGGGAGGGGTCCCTGAAGGTCAAGGGGTCAACAACTCCAGAGAAAAGAGCCCCATGGCCTCCGAGTGGTCCAAGGTCACGCGCTCCCTCCACGTCCCCCGGCCCCACCGGGCTTCGGGAGGTAACTCTGGCTCCCCCCGCCCCAGACCTCGGGCTCTTCTTGGTCTCGGGATTCCACGACCCGCGGCCGTGGAAGGGCGCAGGGGGGGAGGGAGGTGGAAAGAGGTGCAGACCCTAGGAGCCAACCCATACACATATTATACAGAGAGGAAACCTAAGGCTGATGGGCGTGGCCAGGAGGTAGAGATCGACCGAGGGGGGGGCGCACCTCCCCCCACAGCCAAGTTCTGCACCCCCCCAACGCCACTCTCAGCCCCGCCCGAGCCGGCAGGCTTCAGGACCCCACCCCACGCCCACGCCCGGTCCATAAATCTTGGAGTTCTTGCCTCCTCATTGGCCGCGCCCTCACGTCGCCGCTCCCCATTGGCAGGCCGCCACTAGACCCCGCCTCCCCCGACTCGCGCCGAACCCCCAGCATAGCAACCCCAACTCCCCAGCAACCCCCCCTCCCCCCCGGGCCGAACCCCGTATGGGCCCCATGTGCAAGGCCTCGAGTCTGAGCGGACGGCCTCCTCCTCACCGTGTAGTAGGAGAGCAGCCCCGCGTTGTAGTCCAGCACGAACCAGCGATACTGCCAGCCTTTCATCACGTTGGTCCATTTACTCAGCGGCCCCTCCATGATGGACGCCATCTTGGGAGCCGCCAATGACAACAAACGAGCTGACGTCACGCGCCTATATAGGCTCGAGGCCGGAGGGGCGGGGCCAGCGGCTGGGCGGGAAGCGGGCGGGGCCAGTCGGCTGGGGGCGGAGCCCAAGGACAGAAGCCCATGGAAGGGAGGCGGGGAGAGGAGGAGAATCTTAGAGAGAACTCTGGTTTCTGGAGCGTTTTTAGAGATGTCCAAGGGGCTTTTCTCGCTAAAAGTCCATGTAGGAGGGAGGCATCAAAGTGCCCAACATTGCAAACGGATTTATGAAATAAAAAGCTCTGACGTTGGAGTCAGAGGCCTTGGGTTCGAATCTCACCTCTGTCCCTCGCTAGGTGACCTTGGGTGGCTGAGCTTCAGGTTACTCCCTCTCTAAAAATGAGGTTGGACCTGCCTCTAAGGCGTCTTCAAGCTCTAGATCTTATTGTGACCTCCCCGTGGTGCAATGGAATTAGCAGTTGTGCTGGGTTCAAACTCTTAGGCAATAATAATATTTATATCATGCTTTAAGGTTACCGATTTTGGTCCTCACAACAACAGCCCTGGGATATTTTAACCCATTTTACAGATGAGAACACTGAAACATTTAGGGGGGAGTGACTTGGCCAGGGTCACACATACAACCCGTGTCTGAGGGAGGATTTGCTCAGGTCTTCCAAACTCTCTATGCCCCGCGACTCTTTTAGCTACCACTTAAACCTCTGTCTGGACCAGACACAGCCTGTCTGGGCCCAAATCTGCTGGTGTGTAAAATGAGGGGTTTCTACTATATGCCCTCTAAGTACTAGATGGTATGAGCCACATAACAACCCTTTCAAGTGGGTGCTGCGGCTATTATTATTAACATTTTTTACAATCGAGGAAACAAAAGTTCAGAAAAGTCAACAAGAATTTCTAAAGTACTTTCTAGTACCAGGCAGTATGCTAAGTGCTGGGAATACAAATATCCAGAAAAAAGAAAGAGAGTCCCTGCCCTCAAGAAGCTTACATTCTAGTTGAGAAAGACAACACATGATAGGGAAAGGGGGGTGGGCGTTTTCTTGGGCGTTAGGGGAGGAAGTACCCAGATTGAGGCATAGTGGGCAAGTTTCTCTGGCTAACTAAGCTGGGACACAGTGAAAGATGCCTGGCCTCAACCTTAGCTGGGAATCAAATGGAGGAATTCTACCAGGACTCTACCATCCTGTGCATGCTAAATTATATTTAATTAGAGTCCAAACTTCATTTTTTCTGGACTTTTCTCATCCCTCCCACTCCTCACTACTAGTTCCTTCCCTCTGAAATTACCTCCCCTGTTCCCTGTGTATCTCTTGTTTGTGTAGGATGTATATCTATATATGTGTATGTGTGTGCACATATGTATGTTTATGTGGTGCTCACGTAGGTTGTATGTGTCCAAATGGATCACTCTAGATTCCAGTCATGGGAAATCAGGGATAAATATCTATGAGGTCTTCTCTGACCACCCTTCTCCAAGAGAAACTTTGATTCCTGCCAGGAGGGGAGCAATGTCCCTTAGGAGATTAAAAGCCATCAGGCTGGTTACTCTTTGGGGTACTGGGCTAGAATTTTATCTACCCACTCCCTGAAGTATTGTTTGTCTAGGAGAAATAATTGATAGCTTCCTGATCACTATCCCTTATTGGGGAAAGAGTACCCCAAGCTCTGTATTCAAGGTTTGACTCCGTTCCCACCAAATGCCAGTTCCACAATTCATTGACATATTATGTTCAATAACATCTTTATTTCAGTATAATTGGTTAATCTTTTGTCTTTTATTTTAACCTTTTAAAAATATTATTCTGAGAAGGGGTGCATGGAGGAAAGAGAGTAAGAATCTATGTAGTACCTATTCTGTGCCAGGCACTTTTTACAAATATTATCTCATTTGATCCTTCCAACAAGCCTGTGAAGTAAGGTGCTATTATCATCCCCATGTTACAGTTAAGGAAAGTGTAGGCAAACCGAGATTAAGTGACTTGCCCAGGGTTACATAGCTAGTAAGTATCTGAGGTCAGATTTGAACTCCAGGTCTTCCTGATTCCAGTTCCAGCGCTCCAGCCACTGTGCCACCAGCTGCTTCCTGCATAGTCTGCGTAAGTTTCACCAGAATGCCAAACAGGTGGGAGTGAGGGTGGAGTGATGTCATCAAAAAATTAGCTAATAGCAAATAAACACATTTATCCTAACTGATACTAAACAGAAATCAGAGAAGTTATACAGATGAGAGTATACCAGAGAATACGCAGAGTAGATGAACTCTCCCACTGGGAGAACGATATCTCAATTCAACATAGAAATTTCCAGATCTCCCTCCAAGGGAATTTCCCACAGCCTCTAGTATAGTAAGCTGGGAATGGGTACATGATCAAGGTGACAGCTTCTCTACACATTGGCTTCTTCCCAGAGTCTTTCTCTCCCTTCAGGAACCTCTATGTGAGGAGAATCTGCCAAAATCTCTTTCAAATCTTGAATACAAAAGACCAGGATCTCTCATCCCCCAAGCCCTCACTAACTCTCTCCCTTACATACCAAGCACTGAGTAATCAAACCCATCAGCAAAGAAATTCTTATGCAAGTGGACTCTGATCCCCTGGTTATATATGTATCTAGTTGCTTGCATATTGCTTCCCCCAACTGGAATGTGAAGGCAGGAACAGTGTGTTTATCTTCCTTTGTGTCCCTAACACTTAGCACAGTATGTGGTAAATGCTTAAAAATGCTTGTTGATTAGTTGATTTAGTCACTCATTAATTCATGCTTCCATGAATTAATATAGGCTAAAATCTGGAATTCACTGTATTTTGCTGCCTTAAAATTACAAGTCTAATGCTACCTCTGAATAATTCCTTGTGTGACCTTGGACAGCTTACATCCCCTCTCTGGTCCTCAGTTTCCTCATCTGAAAAATGAGAGGATTAGAATTAGAGTCCTCATTTTACAGATGAGGAAATTGGGCTCAGAGAGGTCAAGGGGCTTGCCCAAGGCCAGCAGAATACCTCCACTTATTAGGAAGAATGGCAAGAGAATTTCTGGCTTACACCTCTTGCTGCCCCAATGTGATGGGAAGGAAACTCTGACCGGGACTTCTTATCTCTACTATGATAAGAAGAGCACACTGCCTCCATCACGCCAGCTTCCCTATCAGCCTTGGGACATAAACTTCAGGCTCCAGTTTTGACCAGCTAGTTCCTTAACCTTCCTGATGCAGAATCCCTATCTTTCTCCCTTCCAATATGTATACCCTTATCTTCCCCTCTTGCTTTCTGTAAAGCTACATTGTAGGCATGCTGCTCATGTATTCATATTCTATATGAGGTTGCTGAAGTGGAAGCTCTGGGCTCTCTGCCTTTTGTTCCAGATAAGCTTGCACTTTGAGCATAAATAAAACTCTTGGGATAACTTATCTCTGCATGGTTGAATTGATGATTGACAGCAGCAGTACCTGACCAATGTACCTCCTGGATTTTTATCACAGATGTTTTTCCCTCAATGAAACCTATGTCAACCTATCTGCAATTAGTTCTGACCCCAGAGGTCAAGCCTTCTAAAGGATTTTAAATGACCGAAGCAACCAATCAACAAACATTTATGAAGGACCTCCTAGGTGGCACTTACTATGTTAGGGGGCTAGGTGGTGCAATGGAGTCAAGAAGACCTGAGTTCAACCTCGTTCTCAGACACTAGCTGTGTGACCCCTAAGCAAGTCATTTTAACCTCTGCCTGCCTCAGTTTCTTTATCTGTAAAGTGGGGATAATAACAACACCTACTTCCCAAGACTTATGTGAGGATTAAATTAGATAATTTTTGTAAAGCACTTTGCAAACCTTAAAGTGTCCTAGAAATGCTAGCAATTATTATGGTTATTATTAGACTGAGGATATATAGAGACAAAGGACAAACGTGAAACAGACCCCGCCCTCATAGAGCTTCCATTCTATCACCAGAAAATCCATACGTACACAATTATGTTTTTGAAAAATCAATACAGGGTCACTCGACAGGGAGAGGAAATCAATTTGCTGCTGGAGGGGCTCAGGAAAATCCTCTCTAAGAGGTAGGCTTGAAGTGAGTCCTGAAGGATGACAGGGAATCTGAGAGGAGGAGGTAAAGGTGAGCAACAGGGAGACAAAGAGGGGAACTCGTGAGGGGGAGGATTTGAGACCCCTTCCACAGAGGGATGTAAGGTATCCAAGAAACAGGTGAGAGCCCTGCAGACAGACAGCAGAAAATGGAAGGTCTAGTACAGAGAACAACATCATGTGGCTGGACCTTAGAGCACATAATAATAGCTAGGATCCCTAGAGTGTTTTAAGTTTTGCTAAGTGTTTTATAAATGTTATCTCATTTGACCCTCACAACAACCCCGGAAAGTAGGAACTATTATTATCCCCATTTTACAAATTCGAGCACCAAGGCAAATGGAGGTTAGGGGATTTGCCCAAGGTCACACAGCTAGCTAATGTCTGAGACCACATTTGAACTTAGGTCTTCCTTATTCCCAGTCCAGTGCTCTGCATGCACTCTACCTGCCTCTGAAGAGGAGCAGTGTATTAACTTAGGTTGGAGTCAGGTTATGAGGGGCTTTAAAAGTCCAACAGAGGGGTTTGCATTTGATCTCCAAGGTAATAGGAAGGCACCGAAGCTTCTTGTGCTGAAGAGTGACGCAGTCAGACCTGTGCTTTAGGAATATCAATGTGGCCCCTGTGTGGAGGTTGGATTGGAGAGCGGGGTTGTGGGATGTGGGCTACATGACCATTATGGTCCTTTTCAGCTTTAGCTTGTATCATCAGATTTCCACTCCAAAGACACTAGAGAGAGTTCTCTGGGATCCAAGCCATGTCTTCTCTGGTGGCTTGTAGTCTGGAAGTCACCAACTAAAATTATACACAGCACAGAGGCAGCGGCTCACCTCTCCTCCACCTCCTATCCCAGTGCCCCGTCAGAGAGACAGAAGCTCAGAGCCGGAAGGCTTCCTGGAGGCCACAGA